CTATCTTTTAGTAATATGTTTATTATATTTTTCAAAATTGATATATTTCAGTAAAATACTTCATAAAGATAGTCACTGCAATTAAAAAAAATAGCGCATTTAAGTTGCAACTTGTGACACAATTAAATTTTCTTATGGTGCAATTAAGTTACAACTTAATTGAAATTTGAAAATAATTATGGGAACCATCTTTAGTACTTTATTTGATTCTGAAAAGATTTGGTATAAAATCCACCTATCTCGATTATGAAAAATATGATTTATTTTTCTTTTAATTTTTTTTAAACTACTAGTATTATATTATAATTTAATTTAATAAAAATAAATTTTCAAGTAATTTTCATAAAACTTTATTTTATTATTATTAATAAAAGATATTCTTAATATACTGGCAAGAAGCTGTTGATAATTTTGAAAGGTTATTCAATACAAATGAAGATATAATGTAATTATATATATTGAAGTTATGATCTGTAATTGCGCTAAAATAAAGTTATGTGATCTAATGATTGACATAGTTGACAAAGTTGCTAAAGTTGTTAACGTTGATCAAGTGGATATATTAAATATATGGATTATATTTATTATATTTTTAATTATATCTTATTTATTATATATATTATATTTATTATAGTTATATTATTTGTTTTCTTTATTATATTTATTATAGTTGATTTTATATTATTTTATTTTATATAAATATCTTGTATTTTCCCTTGAGTTGAAAAGTAACTCAAGTTGAGATTTTAGAGTTCAATAAAGAAATCATTAAATTCATTTACTATTGCCTTTTATCATATCTTCATATAGGCATGATTGTGATATTGTCTTGTATTTAATTTAATGGATTGAATTAAAGTTTATCATTTAAGTTTTCAGATACCAAGTTAACAATATCAGTAAAATTAATATATTAAAGAATTAATGCTCTTTTAAATATTTAATAACATCAGTTAAAATTTTTTCTTAATGAACTAACAAATAAAAATGTTGAGTAAAAAGATGGAAATTTAATTTTAAATAGATCAAATATTTCTATTTTTTCTTATCTTTTAAAATTATCTAATATTAGAAATATGATAATAATTTAAAATTTCAAAATTATTTATTGATTTGACAAAACCAAAAGAATCTAGATTATTAAAACTTTAATAGTAAGCAAATGCACTAAATCTTAGTTCTCAAAATCAAGAAATTATTTAATTAATAACTATGATGATTTTTTATAAAAAAATCCTATAGAAACTCTTGAAATAAAGTATTTTTTTTATAAATTAAATTCAAAAATACTTAAATTTTAGAAATATTTGAAACTATAACATGCTAAAAGAAGATTGATTAATTGAACTTCCTTTTAAAAATGTTAAAATATTTAAAATCACATTATTAGAGTTTATCATTTGATAAATTAATTAAATTAAATTTAAATCATAATTGAATTATTTTTTGATAATAAAATACATATATACAAATGTGCAAGATATATAATATTAGATATTGATAGAAATTAAAATGAAATAATAAGAATAAATATTTTATTTACAATAATATGTCATCTTCTCTTTTTTTATTGATTATAAGAATATTTTTACTTATATATTTTTAATTGAAATTATAAACTGTAAATAAAATTCTTTTCAACTATAATAATAAATCTTGTAAATCTCAAATTTTAAAATAATAAAATGATGATGTTGTTAAACAAATCTGATGATTATAAATAATCAGAAATTAACTAAAGAAAGTTATTACATTTAATATAGCTTTAAATTAGATAATTTAACATAATTTCTAAATGAAGCTACTCCATTCTTTTTTTTGCTATATACTCATTTTAGTATTTACATAATTAATTTATTATAGAAACTTAATAAATATATATTTAAAGAATCTAATAAATATTGAAAATAAAATAAATTGATAAAAGGAATTCTGAAATCTTTCTGAAATTTGATTGTCATATTATTAAAAAAATTTTTAATATTAAATTAATTTAAGTTAGATTCATATAAGATTAGTTTTAAGTTACATTTTTTTTGTTTATCATTCACATTGCTTTAGCAATTCTTTGGTATAAACTAAAAAAATCGCTCATGTGATTTTTACATGAAATGTAAGTTTAAACATTATATTTATTATTTATGTTAATTTACAAGATAGATAATAAAAAGAACTAGTTTTCAAAAATTTACTGTAATTTGATTATTGACAATTATGACTTTTTAATTAATATTTTTTTTTTTTTTTTAACGATGTGGCACTGCTAGTAACTTTATTAAATTTATATATAAGGAAATACATAGTAAATCGAAAATAAATCTATGCTAAGTACTAGCTATTCCCTGTAGTTATATTACAAACCCGTTTGGATTGACCTATCATCATCTTCCCTCTCCATTACTTCCACTGAGTGCATGCTTAATGAAAAATAATATCAACAAGAAAAGATAAAGAAGAAGTCAGTGCCTATCTAAAATCTGAGAACGCGTAGCCAAATTTATTCGCAAAGTGTACCTAAATCACCCAGTTGAGAGAGGGGCTTGATGTCTGTCTGCGAGGCAAGGGTGAACTGGCACTTTGTTTACACTTATCTTGTTTAGTAATGCCTAATGAACGCTCTTTAGCGATCACTAAATTGCAATAGTGTTTCCAGACGTCATCAAATAATTTTTGGTGGAAAAGAAGCAGCGAGCGTAAAATGATAGAGAGGCATCGCTCTTTGTTGCCAGTTATTTTTTGAACAATATCTGTCAACAAAAATGGGATTCTGGATTGGATGATGTCTGCGTAGCTATTAGAAGCATTTAAGGGTAGTGCAAAAACTGTGTTGAGTATATCCTCTAGTTCAGTTCGGTGTGTTGTGTATCTGTTTCTGTATGAAGAACTTAGTTGGGCATCGAAGTCTTGTTTGGTAGCCGAGATTGTGTTCATTATTTCTGAGGAGTACTTTGGACAAGTCCAAATATGTAAAGCAGTTTCAATGACATCATTGCAACCTTTTAATTAATATTTTAAACTTTTTAAGAAATAATTAAAATGATATTTTTAGATAGAATTTTATATAAATAGGTTGTATTTTTATCTATTTTTAGGAAGTAAACTGGATATCTTCTCTTTAGGTCTACTTAGTGAAGTTTTTATTGTATTTCTTAAAAAAATTTTGTCTACTTACACCTTGTTAAATAAATTTTGTAATTGATGACATCCATCTATAGTAAATTGAGGTGAAAGCTGAGAAAACTATACCATTGAATAAACAAATATTTTTTAAATAATGATATTCTGAAATTAGATGATCAAGTTACATTAAGGAAATAATTTTCAAATTGGTCTCTTTAATGTGAAATTAGTAGATAATAAATCCTTAACATTAAGTAAAAAGTACTTTATTAAAAATTTTAACAAATAATATTTTATTTAGGCTACCAACTAATTTTTATTTCATATTACCCTACGGGGATACTTGATAAGTCCATCCTATTCTTATAATCAAATTTGAGATGCCTTGCTCTGTTATATAACTCAGCCTGCCAAGAGAATAGCGATTCTCTAATACAACTATGGCGTAAAAAAATTATGGAAATTATTGGATGGACTTTCTATTTCAGCAACAGTATCTTAGCACATAAAGAAATTATTTCAAAATATATTTTTGGAGTAAAGTTAGATTAATCTAATTCCAAATTTATTTATCTTTAGATTGTATCAATCCATAAGTCAGACCAGAGTAAGTGAAATTTTTTGTTATTATAAAAATCTTTAAAATTAACTATTTTAACTGGTTAATAAATCATTAATTTGAAATACAATTATTTTCAATTACGAAATCCTATTTTGTGTAAACTTTGATTTCTTTTTTTGATAGACTATGTATGGTTAGGCCTATTTTTACTAAATATTGTTTTTCTTCATTTTGTTAACTTGGGTATTTCTATATTTTTCCTTCAAATGGAATATATACTATAAAGAGGGATATCGTACGAACCTTTTGCCGGCCTAGTCGTACGCATTTTTGCCGTTCTACTACGCTTCCTCTTTTTCTTCTCACTAGTTTGTTAGATAATATCTAGTTTTTTTTATGTATGGTCATTATAAAATTAATGAAATTATTTTACTTCATAATATTATGAGCTATATTTTTATTATAATTTCTATAGTCTGTTGCTCCTCTTTGTATAGGTATCATTGTATGTTACTTTGTGAGATTTTTTTTTTTTTTAAAAAAAAAGAACGAAAAGAAAAATAAGAAAAATAAACTCAACATAATTTTTTTCCGTGTAATTTTTATATACTATGTTCAAGATAAACGACTATTTCCTCCAAAATTAAAATTTTATTTTAAACGGGGATTTTTCATTCATGGCAGACCAATAACAAAATTTGCCTCTTCTGAAAAAAAAAAAAAAAAAAAAAAAAATAATTAATTATTATTAGGCAGATGGGTTTATTAATTAATCGATGGTTGAAAAAGAAGAAAACGTTCTTCCGACATAAGATATCAAGAACAAACAAAGTTACGCGCCATTCGAATAATAGCATCAATGCCAAAAAAAATGCTAATACCAGCACCAATGTTAAAAAAAATCCCAATGCCAGCGCCAATTTCAGTACCAATTCCAATACCAGTACTACTGCCAATGTTAATACTAGTACCATCACCAATGCTACCACTAAAAAATGCTAATGCTAATGCCAATGCTAATACTAAAGTAAAAGCTGATGTCATCGTTGACTAGGTACAAATAGTTTAGCTTGGAACATAAATATGAGAAGGTGGGTTTATAAAATTATTTTCTTTGTGATTTCAAAGCAATGAGTAAAATGTCTTGTCGTACATATCATCTAATCATATATAGTTGAAAGCTTGAATGGTTCGATCACATCTTTTTTCTTATCCTGGTCACATAGTGATGATTATTTTCTCTAAAGTACTAATCATTTTGTTTCGGTAATCCTAGTAATTCCAAAAATTGCTAACTTCTGACCCTAAAACTGAGCTCTTATCGATTTACCACCAATGGAATTCTCTCGATAGCAGAATAAACGATTTCTGCAGGAGATGAAAGTACTTTCAAAGGATTACTGTGAAGGTTAAGAAATTTGTTTTCAATACAGGCAGAAGGGGCCTCCCAATTTATCTCTATATGTTATGCTTTCCTTGTCTAGGAAATTTACGGTTTCAAGTCTCTACATGTCCCAAGTGATGATAGAAAACTCCCGGCAAGTCTCTACATGCATTGAGCATCAGCCCTATGAAAAAAAAATTCTGGAATATGTCCAGAATTTGCCGTAATATCCAGATAATGTTCGGAATCCACATTTTCCGGACATTTTCCACATGCACCCGGACATTTTCGATAACACTTTCTGGAAAATTTTTTTTTATAGGGCAGGACTCTCACCATTTGCGATTCGTTTATTCTGTTTCTTGATATTTGTTATAAATATGCATTTATGTAACAGGTGAAGCTGATGAAATGAAGGAAAAATTAACCTTGAACGGAAGAACAATTAAACTGATTTCTTTATTTGACTCTCGACAATGATCATGCAAAACGGCGGCGTAAAGCGGACAAACTCGACTGTAGTCTTTGACCTAATAGATGATGCTGGAGAAAATTATTATGACTTTGACTTCACTTGAAAGAAATCTTAGGAAGAAACTTCTTCAGAGAGGACACTTTGAAGGAAAAAGAAGATTAATTATTCTGAAATGCTATCATCTACAAATGATATCAAAAAAAGCTGTTGACAAACCTGAATATGAATCTGGAGTTTACCTAACGAAATCATACATTGCAATGAATCTCAAACTTATGTGAACACTCCAAAGTGACCGTAAGGTAGGAATAGTCATATATGAATTATTCGACTTTTGAAGTTATTGATAAGCCAAAACTTAATTCTTGTCAAAGAGTTATTAAAATCTGTCGATAATATGAAAATTTTTAGATCAATAATTTATATCTGACGGCAAAAATATGATCGATCGGACGATTTTGACTTTATCACAATGCCTATCGCAGTTTTGTTTGGATTTTTCAAAGCTAAAAGTTGAGAATGGAATCTTTAACCGGTTAATTTGAGATGAACGTTAGGAGTTGACTGATTTGAGCTTGTTATAAATCTAGCATCGAGCAAAGACCAATAAACCAAGGTGCGTTTCTATTGACAACATAATTGATGAGTTGTAAATGTCCACCATAGTTTGACTAACTTCGCCCTTTGTTCCATCATTTCCTAGTTAGAATTGCTACCTGATTCAAAAATAATAAAAAGCTAGTAATTACCACGTGTTTAATTATCCTCTCAATGACGTAATTCGTAGATCGTTTATGTGATTATGAAAACTCCCCAATTTCCACTACACTTCATGATGCAAAATATTTTTAAAAATACAAAGTGGAAGGTTCTTAATTCTACTATTTTTCAAGTCAAGCCTAGATTTTTCTCGTTTTTTTTATTTCTATAAAAAAAAATTGAACTTTTTTTATTTTTTTTTATTTTTCGACGGCTTACTCTATCTAATACCAGATAAGACTGAGTAGATTGTGACTGTTGAGTCTACTGTTTCTGTATGGGGATCGGTTATGTTCTTGCTTGCAGTCGAAGTAAAAATTAGTTTTATGCTTGTCGTTTTATGTGCTTGATAGTAGAAGAATATCCATTACGCCATATACGTCGGACTAAAAGTTGGTGATAGGAAAGGCTGAATAGTCAATACGTTAGGGGAAAATGTGTTCTCTAATAGGAAGGACGTTAATACTCTATCTCTACTACTGAGTGTGTATTGACGCCTTGGCGTTCATATTTGAGGTTGCACATGATTATTTTTTGTTTCTGTTACTCACTATTGTTTAATTATTTATCCTTTTTCAATAGAGCTAATGATGGAAAGACCAAAACATGAGCTAGCTTAAATCCAACGAAGGAAGGTCAACCTTAAGGATATGCACTTGATAACTTGCGTTAGGGAACGTTGAAATGAAAATGACCATACCATAGTGACTAGAACTCCGAATCAGTTCGGATCGACCCGTTACCTGACACGACCCGACCTGAAAAATCCAGGTTAGTTGGTAGATTTTATTTATTTTTATTTTATTATTTTTGTTTTTTTGTTTCGATCTAATTTATTTATTTTTTTTTTTTAAAGTTAGTTTTAGGTTATCATAACCAGAGAATCTGACAATATTATAAAACATAAATAAAGTTTTTGAGAAAGTATGGTTTTTGATGCTTATCATTTAGGATAAGCGGATCCTTTTGGTAGGTGGGTCACCTTATGGAATTACCTGTCATCGCAATGCTCTGTCACGTAAGTTATTTTATTTCTTTCTTGTCATATGAGTTGTATGATTATCGTTTAAATAATTTCAATTATTGTTAATGAATAAATAAAGTTCCCATGAATTTTTAACAAATGTTTATAAGATTTTTAAGTTTTGATCGCGCAGAAAGACTAAGTATGTGACTGATTCGCAAATCCAAGAAGTGAAACTTTTATCTTGAACTCGAAAATAAACCGATTCCGCCTTGTATTATTCCTCATCTTGATCCATGCCTTCAATATATAAGCACAACTCACCGACGTTATGATCGGCATAATTCTCCCAATTTCGCGGGTTGCACGGTCTTGAAGATCTTGAAGAGAAAAATTTGACAATTCTTCATTCTTCCAGAGTTTAATATCTTTTGCTATTGATGGTTTACCGTTTTCTTTTGGAATTCTATAGTAAAATAAGTTTAGCCTAGTAAATGATACAAAAAATTTTCATCATGAGAAAGAGATTGTTATTAGTGGTAAAAGAAGATACATCTCTTCCATAATCAGCAACACCAAAGTTAGGGCGCCTGAATTAATTGATGTACCAAACGAACAAACACAAAACTAGGAGTTACCCTTCCTTAGCAAAATAAACAACGCATCTTTTTGTTTAAATCCGCAAAATCCTTTCTTATCAATAGTTTTTAAGAGTTGTCCAACCAAAGAATTGTAGAGATCGTGCCTGTTATCTGATTCTATAACCTCTGTAGCAAAATTCTTTTAAAAAAAAAAAAAAAATCGTAGTAAAATAAATTTTAAAAAATAAAGTTTTATTAAAAAACATTCGTCATCGGGCGGTAGTAAAATAAATTTAAATCTTTTAGTAAATAAATTCTAAAAAAAAAAAAATTTTGATGTTGATTTTGATGACAAATTCAATTATCACGAAAAGCTACGGCGAAAACGAAAATTGAGTTTTTTTTTAAGAAATGCTGTTATTTTTAAGATATTATTGATGGTGGTAGCAATTTTATAAAAAGGAAGTGATTTTTCACGAAATTTCACGTGATATAATTTTTTTACCTGTGTCACTTCCTCTGCGCAACACAAATCTATATCAGAGCTTTATCTAACGAACCCACTCATATATCGAATACAAAAATAAATTTCTAAACAAATACGGATCGAAAACTTCAGAAAAAAAAAATAATACAATATACTTTTTTTTAATTAGCATTGTGAATTGAATTAAACCGGAATAAATAAATTTTATTATATCCAAGGTAGAAATCTGCATAGAATTTAGATGATGTTAAAATATTTTTTTTTGGTATAATCATTATGTTTACGGTAGTTTGCAATACCAGCTGTAAGCTTTCTTTCTTTTTTATTAAGTTGTGAATTTTTTTATTTATTTTTGAAAACAAATTGTAGGAATTTAAAGTATAAATTATATAAAGTCAGAATTTTTAATTTAAAAAATATTTTTTATTGTCAAAAGAACATAAATGGGTCGTTTGCTATTAACAATCAATTTACGAAACATGATTTTAATTTCGAACCTTCAAAAATAATAAATTTAAATATTAAAAAATATGAATTATTTCTTTCATTTCTTTGGGTTTTTCGTCTTGTTCATCATTTTCTTTTTCGTCTTAAACTTTAGAAATGATGGAAATAATTTAATCGTTATACAGTTATAA